GGCCCATAAATCAATGACTTAAAATGTTTCTTCAGATTATCTGAGAAATCTTGACATAACATTAATTTTGAGAGGAAAAATGCTCTCAAAGATTTCTTTTTATGATAGTGTCTCAGTTTCAACTTTCATTACTTAAGAAATTCTTGATTCAAAGTTGATTAAAATAAGATTAAAAGAGTCCGGTGTAATGGTACAAGCCTTTAATCTCAGCATTTGGGAGGCAGAGGTAGGTAAATCTCTGTGAGTTTGAGGTCAGCCTAGCCTACATAGCAAGTTCTAGGACAGCTAGAGCAATATATTAAGAGTTTTGTCTCAAAACAACAACAAAGTCAGGCAGATCTCTGAGAGTTCAAGACCAGCCTAGTCTCCAAAATTCCAGGAGAAAAACCCTATATCAAAAAACATCCCCCCCCAAAAAACCAACAACAAACAAAATCTTTAAAAGAACTCAAATTTTCCATCAAGTAAGCTCAAAGTCAAGTATTTATCATTAATGAAATAGATCTATGATTTGTCAAAAAATAATTTTGAAAAAAAAATAAAATTGATTTTTCTGTCCAGGAAGTCTCTCTGTAGACCAGGCTAATCTCGAACTCAGGGATCTGCTACCACACCCAGCTAACAATTATATTTTTTGAGGTGGATCTTACTATGTTGCCAAGGCTCATCTTCAACTCCTCACTCACTTAAATCCTCACTGATCCTTCTGCCTCAGCCTCCCTGGTGTCTGAGAACATGGAGGTATATAGAATTCAAGGCCCTCCTGGCCCAGCACTTGCAAGGTAAGGTCACAGCATATGCTTACTTATCACGGTCAGCTAGGCTGTGTTGTCCTAAAGAACCATCCCTTCAGCACAGTAGTAAGAAACTGAATTGAGCTTTGCATAACTTATTGTTTTAAAAACTAGAACAATAGAAAGACAGAAAATGTTCTTTCTTAGGCTCTTAGTCACCATGGTGTCTTGGGTTAAGATGTGGAAACAAATGCATGTACCACAAAGTGTGCCACATCATGCAAAGTCCATGAGATTCTAAGTAACACAAACCATGACTCATACTCTTATTCCTATCACTGGTGGGTTTTACATTATTATTAAAATGAACGCTTTTGAGTTAACACTTAAGAATTAAAAATGTGTCAACATACAGCAAATGACAACTGAACATCCAATATCCACACAAGATAGTCATATGAAACCTCCACAAGGGATTTAAGAAGGGAAGCAAGTTTGCCAACTTCTCTGGAAGCAGTCTCAGAGCAGTTCTGAAGCCCAGACATACAAATTCTCCACATAAATAATATGCAGGTAAGTAAAACTGGAAGAGGCCCTATCAGCTGACATTAGGACACAGCCTTTTACCTGACTTCAGCCCATTAACCCAGTTTAAATCATAACTGAAGTCCCACAGTAACCAACCAATAAAAATGTGCCATTGGAGAGGAGACAGGTTGTGGGCTACCAAATATAAAACGGTTCATTCTGTGACCTCTTCTCCCCTTTTCAACTTGGCGTACTGCTACACATTGTCTGGGCTTCTGGGAGAAGGATGTATTTTTAAAACACTGAGCCACGCTTGGCTTAGTGCACCTCTATAATCCCAGCACTCAGAAGTCTTAGGCCAGCCTGGAAAATATACTAAGACTCTATCTCAAAAAGGCAAAAAAAAAAACGAGCCGGGTGGTGGTGGTACAAGCCTTTAATCCCAGCACTCTGAAGGCAGAGGCAGGCAGATCTGAGTTTGAGGCCAGCCTGATCTACAAAGTGAGTTCCAGGGCAGCTAGGGCTATTACACAGAGAAACCCTGTCTTAAAAAAAAAACACAAAACAAACAAACAAAAAGCCAGGTAGGTGATGTGTGCTTGAGGCATGCGAGCAGGGTGGCAGAGAGTTCTAAGTGAGCTCTGGTTACGTGAGATAAAGCAAGGCAAACAAGTGAAAAAAGACAAAAAAAAAAAAAAATGACTAGGAAGGCAGCAGGCCAGCATAAAAGGGCTCGTTTGTAAGAGAAACTTTGTTAACCAAATTTTTATGATTGATGCAGTTTTTGTTTTAAAGATTTATTTACTTATATTATGTATACAGTTTTCTGCCTGCATGTATGCCAGCGGGACAGAGGAGGGCACCAGATCTCATTACAGATGGTTGTAAACCACCATGTGGGTGCTGGGAATTGAACTCAGGACCTTCAGAAGAGCAGCCACTGCTCTTAACCACTGAGCCATCTCTCCAGCCCTTGTTTTGATTTTTTTGACACAAGGCCTCACTATGAAGTCCTGGCTCTCCTGGAACGATGTGGACAAGGCTAACTCTGAACTCATAGAGATCCACCTGCTTCTGCCTCCCAAGTATGGATTAAAGGCATGTGTCACCAAGCAAGCCTGGTTAGTTGTTTTAAACATGGTTAGAATAAAAAATACAAAAGCAAACTCCTAAGGCAGTTTCCACTCATCCTCATGGTGGGTGAACTCTCCTGCCCAAGCTAGCAAGCAGCAACAATCAGGGTCAACTCCCGGTTAAGATCAGTAGTCACTGTGTCCACCCCCTATTACTTGATTTATGGATAATTTTTAAAAAGCATTTAATATCCTTTTCTCTTTTTCTGATAATAGGAATTGAACTCAGGGCCACCCATTCTAGTACTGAGCAGAGTTACACTCTCAACCCAGAAGGAGAAAAACCATAGCAAAACCTATTCGATGCACAAACACCAGATGTTCTGATTTGCTATACTTTGCTTTATTGGACTGCAATTTTACAAAGTCTAATTCTATTTCCTTTCTGGGAAGGGTGCTGGGGACTGGACCTAGGACCTTGCGAATGGATACACTTCCTTCAGCAGATAAGTGTTGCTACTGCTGACCCAATGGCTTGTGTCTGCGTACACCAATGAGTTCAACAAGGTCATCAGCTTAACCTAAACTGTGCCTGAAAGTACACCCCTAAGCCAATGACTTTGTAGGTACCAAGTACTTACATTATGGTCTCCAAATACAAAGGGGAGGCCTACCTGGTGGCAGCAGCACATGTCTCTAATTCTAAGACTTGGGAGGCAGAGGCCAGCAGATCTCTGTGAGTTTGAGGTCAGGCTGGTCTACAAAGTGAGTTCCAGGACAGGCTCCAAAGCCACACAGAGAAACCCTGTCTTGGAAAAACAAAAATACAACAAAAGGGGAGGTCTGCAGAGACTAGCTGGGCATACCAAAAATGTATTTACTCTATTTTAGCTATATTCAGAACTTTATTGAAAACTCTGTCTCAGTGATGGCTTTCAGAAGCATCCCAGCACCAGACACAATAGCACACACCTGGAATCTTACTACTTACTCAGAACTGTCAACTCTGTGGGATCAAAGTAGACTTTGGTCTACACTTAGTGAGACTCTATCTCAAAAACAAAAACATACCACCACCACTGCTCAACAACAAAAATCAAAACACAGAGGCGACAACATCTTGATACATTTGGGATGTGATCCGTTTTGTTTTTTGGTTTGATTTTTAGTTTTGCAATGTAGGCCTGACTGGCCTGCAAAATATAAATTGAAATGTTTTTGAATCTTCATGTATCAGATTCTTCTAAAAACTTCTGTAGTTTTTTGACCATTTCTTTCTTTCTTTCTTTTTTTTTTTTTTTTTTTTTTTTTTTTGATTTTTCAAGACAGTGTTTCTCTGTATTGCTTTGGAGGCTGTCCTGGAACTCACTCTGTAGACCAAGCTGGCTTCATACTCACAGAGATCCACCTGCCTCTGCCTCCTGAGTGCTGGGATTAAAGGCATGCGCCACCAACACCCAGCTAGGCTATTTCTTGTTCTGCTTCTTGAGGTAGGGTTCTGAATTTGCTATGTAGCTGGAGATAATGGGAATACAAGTGTGTACCACCACACTTGGGTTTATTTTTCTAAAGATTTGTGAAAGCAGAAAGTATAGTAGAAGCCTATAGGAACATGCACCTTGTCCTGACACTTGAAGCCAAAGTTCTCAAGTAGGCTTTCTCCGAAGTGTGCTAGGTAGACCTGGCTGGTCAATACCACCAACTTGCAAGCTACTGCAGACTATCATATTGTCAGAATTTTAATTTTAGCCATTAAAATTGAGGATGAGGGCTGGAGGGATAGCTCAGCCATTAAAGGCTAGGCTCACAACCAAAAATATAAAATTGAGGATGAAATGTTACCAAAAAGCAACCACTCCCTTGAAAGAATTTTCTTTTCTTTGAAATATGCTTAACTATGAAAATTGCATCTTTTTGTGGAGGAGGCTGTTGAGACAGCCATCAGTAAGTAGTCCAGGCTAGTTTCAAACTTTCAATAATCCTGTCTCTCTAGTGATCGATCATAGGTTTGAGCAACCATCTCAAGCGAAAATGTATTTTACAGCTCTAAAAATCCCTTGAATCAACAAAGTAAGAATTAAACCACTGAAAAACAAATTAAACCTTTGTTTTATATGGCTTTTTGATAATCCTATGTATCTGTTTCCTTTCAGTTTGATTCAGCACTCATTCCTATGAAAGAAGTCCAAAGCATTCAAGTCTGAAGACTGTGACAGTAGTGTGAAACACGAGTCAGACATGTTAAAAGCATACTAATAATGAGTCGGCCGGTTGGCATTTTTATAGACAGGGACTCTTGTGCAGCCCAGGCTGACTTGGAACTCTAACAGTCCTCTCACCTTCATTTTCCACATACTAACTAGGATTACAGGTGTGTGCTGCATGCCCAGCTTAAACTAGCTCCTTTCTAACATGAAATATTTCTGATTTACTTAAAAATATCAATTTAAAACTCTACTGAACCTGGTGGTGGTGGTGGTGGTGGTGGCAGCGCACATTTTTAATCCCAGCACTTGGGAGGAAGAGGCAGGCAGATCTCTTTGAGTTCGAGACCAGCCTTGTCTACAAGAGCTAGTTCCAGGACGGCCTCCAAAGCCACAGAGAAACCCTGTCTTGAAAAACCTAAAAAACAAAAACAAAAACAAAAAAAACCCAACAACAAAAAAACAAACCAAAAACTCTACTTGAAAACATTTTAGATGAGTATTAACAAAATGTGGTCGGAAGAGATTTCAGATTAAACCTATACACAAAATGAGATGTAACTGGGCTTGTTTGAGATGGGTCTTGCTTATCTAGCTCATGCTGCCCTTGAATGCCACCTGCTTGTTAATGTTTTGGATTCAGAACAAGTGCTACCAAGCCCCCTTAAAATAAAAGTTTTATTTTATTTGGTGAGAAAGGGTCTCTGTGTGCTGCCCAGGATGGCTTGCAACTCTGTAGCCTAGGCTCACCTCCAACTTGTTATTCCTCAACCTTGTGATTGATTACTGGATTATAGGTCTGAACTATTCCCAGCCTAAAATGAAAATTTCAATCAAAATTAAGTTTGTTGGTAACCTGTATCTCCCAGGTTCACAGGACAATAACTGATTCTTCATTATGTCAATTATCTTAAAGGAAAGGCAACTGTCTTTTAAAAAGTCCATCAAAAACATATCTTTCCACGTGCTCAGCTACACATTTAACCATTCAGCAGCAGCCTGCTCTTCTCTTGCATGTCTGCAAGTGAGATGTGGACATATTTTTCTAATATGAACACATAATGAAGATACACTAAATGTCACTCTAACACAGGTTGGCCTTAAACTCATGGCAACCCTCCTGCCTCAGTTTCCTGAGTGATACAAGTAAAGTATGAGCCATATTTTATCGGGAGAAAAAAATGAACAATTTTGTGTGGGTTGCTGAGTATTGAATGAATACATGCTAAGAACACACGCTACCACTGAGCTACACCCAACTCAAAGTTAAACTTTCATAGCAAATTTTCTGTTGTTAATTGTATTTTAACTAAGCAAATTAGCTCTGTAAATAGTCTCTACTCTACTGAATAAGAATGACTTTGGGAAAGAAGGGGTAAAAATAGCCAGTTTAGCCAAACATTTAAAAACCAGTACGTCTTTTACATCTGAGATCTCAGAGAGGCTTTGACACAGAATGCTGGGATGTTATACTGAGGTCACTGGGGGAGTATTTCTGGAGTAAAGGCTTTGACACAGAATGCTGGGATGTTATACTGAGGTCACTGGGGGAGTATTTCTGGAGTAACCTGAAGACAGTCCATGCTTCCAGCCTTCAGTGGGGAGAACAGCTCCTGCTCACGACCTTGGTAGAGAGGGACAAGGAGAACTGCCCCATTCTCAGAGCTATACCACAAAAGCAATGTCTAATTCCTGTTCACCTCTGTTCTGCTTTCATAGTGCTTCTTTCTTTTGTATTTCTTTGACTGTCATCCAGGCACCAAACAGCAAAGAGCTTCCAGAGACACAATGGATTTCCACTATACAAAGAAGCGCATCTTGTGAGAGATACACAGAGAATGAAGGCATTTTTACATAAGCAGTATAAAACTCACAACTGAAGCGGTGCTGACATCATGTGGGCAGTCCTGCTCACTGCAAATTACCTGGGAGGGACTCTAGAGAAGTCTGGCCTAAGGGTTCGTGCAATTTATCATAAAACTGTAGAATCTCAAGCACAGGTTAAGTTCAAACACCAAAAGATTTCTTAAAAGACAATAACGAAGGAAGACCTTTCTTGCCTCATAAGTTAAAAAAAATCACAAGACAAATCAGACTGTTCACATGGGCAGTACTGTACATTACCAATCCCAAATGGATCACAGGACTCTTATCACACTCGCTCACTCACACACACACCCTAACACCAGAGCATACTATTCCAAACACAAAAATGATTCCTGTTGTTCATTATCCAACTATCTATGGCTGTCAGTTTAGTCGGGCCTGGGGCTGTTTTTTACAGGGAGGGGGCCTCCCATGGCGCACAATGTGTTTTTCTAAACTGTCCAGAATGGCTACAGCAATCTGCTGGACGTAGGGGTCTGTCTGCTCATGTTCTTTGATGTTGTACAAATGCTGCAGTCCTCCTTCTTCAATCAGCATGCTGCAATACCTTGAAGCTGGAAGAAAACATTAGAACATTTCTTTTAAGGTATTTATAAGTTTTGAAGTTATCCCACAACCAAACAAATTCTTCGGGCTTAAAACAAAACAAAATGCATCAAAGACCAGGCATGGTGGAGCATGAAACAAATCTATATAGTAAACACCCTGTCTAAAAATTCAAAACCAAAAAGCTTCTCACAAATCAGGTGTCCTCCTCTACCAATCTCTACTTTATTCCCTTGAATTCAGGAATCTTAAAAAAAAAATCTTATTTTATGTGTATGGGCGTTTTATCTACATATATGTCTGTGTACCCCTTGCATGCCAGGGCCCAGAGAAGGCCAGAAAAAGGTATCAAATCCCCTGAAGCTGGAGTTATAGATGGTTGAGTCACTATGTAGGTGCTGGGAATCTCAAACTCAGGTTCTCTGGAAGAGCAGCTGGAGCTCTTAATTGCCAAGCTGGGTTGGTGGGATGGTGCACACCTTTAGCTCCCACACTACAGCAGAGGCAGGAAGATCTACATGGGTTCAAGGCCAGCCTGGTCTATACAGCGAGTTCCAGGACAGCCAGGGCTACATAGAGAAACCCTGCCTGTCTTGAAAAACTAAAAACTGGCTTTTTGGAAGCTGGGGAGATGATTCAGCAGTTAAGAGCACCTACATGGTAGCTCACAACTGTCTATAACTCCAGTTCCAGGGAATCTGATAGCATGTAAGTGATTTACAGACATGTATGCAGGCAAAACATCTATACCCATAAAATAAAATTTAAATAATAATAAAAAAGGCTTTCTGTAACTGAGTACTCATGGGCTTTTTTCTAAGATTAATTAATTAATTATGTATATAGCATTCTGCTGTCATGTATGCCTGCACATCAGAAGAGGGCACCAGATCTCATTATAGAAGGCTATGAGCCACCTTGTGATTGCTGGGACTTGAATTTAGGACCTCTGAAAGAGCAGTCAGTGCTCTTGACCTATGAGCCATCTCTCCAGCTCTGGCAGTGGCTTTTTCAATCCCAGCATTTGGGAAACAAGTGAATCTCTACAAGTAGCAAGTTCTAGGCCAGAAAAGCCAGGGTTACATAGTGAGACCTTGTCTCAAATAAACAAGCTTAGAGTTGAAGAGATGGCTCAGTTCTAACAGGCACTTGTTATTCTTATAAAGGACCCAGGTTTAGCTCCCAGCACCCTCATGGTGGCTTATAACCAGCCCTAACTCCAGTCCTAGGCAGTTCTGGTCCCAACAGGCACCAAGGCAGGTGGATCTCCAAGTTGGAGCCCAATCTGATCTACACATTTCCAGGACTGCTGGGAAACACAGAGAAATCCTATCTCAAAAAACAAAACAAAACAAAACAAAAACCCCATGTCTTCCAGGGATGAAGTTACATGTTAGTGAAGAGTCTTGTCTAGCATGTTCTAGGCATGGTGGTACACATCCATCTCACCACTCAAAGTTGAGGTAAGAGACTGCTGAAAGTTTATGGCCAGCCTGAGCTACACAGTGAGCTTGCCAGGACTACACAGGAAAACCCCAACAACCTTTACTCCCACCCTCAAATGACTTTCTGTAAAGGAGAATTTCACTTGAACCACGGTTCTAATTTTGGTACATACGATTCTTGCTGCAGACGTGTTGCATAGCCCAAACTGCCCACAGCTGGACTCCCGGTGTTGTAAAACAGCCAAGTAATGGGAAAAATGGATTAAAGGATCTAAAAATTCAAAACAAAAGAATCAAAGTCACATTTTATACAAAGCATCATTTCTAAGAAGTGAGTCTTACATCTTTAAGAAAATACTTGCCATTTCCAGACTGATCTAAAGGAGCAACAAACACACACACACCTTTTCTTTGTCATGGGTATTTCAGAAAGGACTGCATTGAGACACCATGGCACACAAAAGGTATTTAACATACTGTATTAAGGGGGGGGATGTGGATCTTTCAAAAGCTTTTTGCTTGTTTGTTTTCCATTTTTGGTCTTCCCCTTAGATATCTGAATGAGAAAGTACCCTTTATACTTTAAAATTAGTTACAAGAAGACAGATGTGGTGGCTCATACCTTTACTTGGGAAGCAGAAGCAAATGGATTTCTGTGAGTTTGAGGCTAGCTTGGTTTAGAGACTGAGTTTCAGAATAGCCAGGATGATGTAGAGAGCCCTGTCTTTTTTTTTTTTTTTTTTTTTTTTACGAGACAGGGTTTCTCTGTTTTGGAGGCTGTCGGTCCAGCCTGGCCTCGAACTCACAGAGATCCGCCTGCCTCTGCCTCCCGAGTGCTGGGATTAAAGGCATGCGCCACCAACGCCCGGAGAGCCCTGTCTTAAAAAAAAAAAAGTGGGGGAAGGGAATAAAGTCTACCACATATTAATAAAGAGAGCCATTCACCAAGGAGATAGAACAACTGTAAATATATACATACCAAAGGCACTTGGAGCTACTACTTCAGAAAATATAGCCTGAGCTACATAAGACCATGTGTCAAATTTTTTTTTGAGAGATCTTAAAAGAATAACCTAATGGTGCACCTCAAGGTCCCAGAAAAACAGGCAAACCCCAAAGCAGGTGCATGGCAAACAATAAACAGGGATGAAAGTTATGAACAAGGAGACTAAAAACAATGCATAGAATCAACAAGGAGTTTCTTCTTAGAAAAAAATAAAAATGACAGTTTACTTAGCAAACTAACCAGAAGAAAGAGAAGATCCAAATTAATACAATTAGAAATTTTTAAAGGTGTTACAACAGATTACAATGGAGTTCAGAGAATTATTAGAGAATATTTTTAAAATTATATTCCAGAAAATTGGAAAAATGGGTGAAATTCTAAATGACCTACCAAAATTAATCGAAGAGGACATATACAACTTAAAACAGATCTCTAACAAGCAAAACAATTGAAAGTCTAGAGGATGGAGGGAAGCCAGGAATGGTGGTGAACCTTTAACTCCAATACTCAAGAGGCAGACAGATCTCAGTGAGCTGAAGGTTTACACAGTGACTTCTGGGTCAGTGAGGCTTGTCTCAAAACATAACACAGAAACCATCAAAAAGCTAAAAGTGAATTAAATTCCTACAAAGCAAACAAAAAAATTTTTTTGGTGTCCTGGAACTCGCTTTGTAGACCAGGCTGGTCTCGAACTCACAGAGATCTGCCTGCCTCTGCCTCTGCCTCCCAAGTGCTGGGATTAAAGGCGTGTGCCACCAACACCCAGCAAATTATTACTTTTTATTTATTGATTTTGAGGGGGTGTTCAAGACAAGGTTTCTCTGTTCCTGGCTATCCTGGAACTCGCTTTGTAGACCAGGCTGGCCTCAAACTCAGAGATCCACCAGCCTATACCTCCTGAGTGCTGGTATTAAAGGCATGCATCACCATTGCACAGCAAATTATTACCATTTGCAGATAATTCTTAGTTCTGTTAAATATTTTCAGCAAAGCAGTATATAAAACCAACATCCCCAAATCAGTAGCCTTTCTCTATAGCAGTAGCAAATCTATTGAGAAATAATTCAAGGAAGAAAATTCCATGCAGAATAGTTTCATAAAAAAATGAAATGTCCAGAAATAACCCTAGCCAGGGAACTAAAATCCTCCAGAATGAACACCTGAAGATACCAAGCAGGAAACTGAAGACAACCCTGAAAGGTGGAAAGACCTTCAAGCTCATGGGCTGGTGTAATTAATGGTGTGAAAATGGTCACATAACTGCAAGAGACCTACAAATTCAATGCAACCTCTATGAAAATTCAATGACATTCTTCACAGAGCCAGAAAACCACCCTGAAGTTCTCATGAAAACACACAGGCAGGCCTGTGACATGGTCCCTGGGATAAACACTTGCATTGTAAGTCTGTTGAGAAACTGGGCTCCAGAACCTCAGAAGACAACCACTGCCTTCCACAGGTTCTGACTGTCCAATGCACACCATGGCATGTTGGCAAGAGCGTGCTCTCTCTCTCTCTCTCTCTCTCTCTCTCTTATATATATATATGTATATATATATATACACACACATATACACACACACACACATATATTTTTTTTGACCTCAACTATACTGCAGAGCAATAACAAAGAAGCAGCTGCACTGGGGCAGAACCAGACATGCAGGCCAGGAGAATAAAAAAGGATTCAGAATAAACCTACAAAACATACATTGGAGGGAGCTCAAGAGATGGCTTAGCAGTTAAGAGCACTGGCTGCTCTTCTTTTTTTTAATAATTTATTTTTATCATTTTATGTGCATCAGTGTTTTGCCTGCATGTATGTCTGTGTGAGGGGTCAGATCTAGAAGTTATAGACAGCTGTGAGCTGCCATGTGGGTGCTGGGATTTGAACCCAGGTTCTCTGAAGAGCAGTCACTGCTCTTAAACCACTGAGTCATCTCTCCAGCCCCCCATTGGCTGCTCTTCTAGAGAAGTGACCATGTGAGGAGAGAAAGAAGAGGCCAGAGAAGGAGAGGAAGGGAAGGCAGTGTGGTTGGGAGTAAAAATACAAACAAAATACAGGACTTTTCTAAAAAATAAAATAAAGTAACGTACAATTAAAAACCTTTCTTTCTGGGCTAGTGAGAAGGCTCAGCAAGTAACGGCGCTTGCTACCAAGTCTGACAACCTGGGTTTGATGCACTGACCCACATGTGGGAGGAGAGAACCAACTGAGAGTTCTCCTCTGGCCTCCACATGAATGCCTACAGTATGCACAAGCATCACTGCTCCTCCACACAAAATAAACAAACATCAAAAAATGTTTAAATGGACTGGGTGGTGCTGGTGGTGGTGGCATTTACTTTTATGGCCCTGCTTTTTACTATCTTTAAAGGCTTTCTGAAATACTGGCAGACATCATCTTCTTTAGAGATACTTAAAAGTTTTGGTAGCTCTTTTGGACTCCAACTGCCAAGGCACAATATCTATCAGTCCAGGAATCTCCTCTCTCTTTTTTGGGGGAAGGGGAGGGGATAACCTAGTTGAGAATACTCCTCAGACTGGCATCCATAATGTATCCTTGAACAGGTTTGTGCTTCCCCTCTCTAGTTCCCCTTGGTCTATAACAAGAATACCCCTTGCCATACCACACCTTTAATCCCAGCCTGACCTACCGAGAGAGTTTCAGGACTGCCCAGGCAACACTGAGAAATCCTGTCTCAAAAAACAAACAAACAAAAGCCCCTGAGTCAATAGAGGTACCCTCTGCCACAGGTCAAAACAGCTTGATTCATGGGAAAACTCTGTCATTCCCACCACTGATTTGAACCACATAATCCTTTCACTTTTCACCCAGAACACCAGCAGCCACTTCTGTGGCCATGGGCTTCTTATGGGAAGATAAAGCTTGCATTCATCATTTTCAATGAGTTTCTGACAGCCAGTGGCTGCTTCATCTTGACACAACCAACTGCCTAGGGAATGCCATGAAAACGCCCTGGGGGCGGGGGGGGGGCACGCTACAGAATCAGTATATAGCCCAGGTTGCCATTAAATGTGCTATGTAGCCTAGCCTGCCCTCCTACATTTGCCTCTCTTTTAAAGTTATTATTGTGTCGTATGTTGAGTACAAGCACACATGCGTATGTAACAGTATGCATTGGGAGGTCAGAGGACAACTCTTGGAAGTCAGTTCTGGTGACTTCCACTGTGGTGAAGGTGATCTAACTCAGACTGTCAGGTAAGCTCGTACCCATTGAATCATCTTACCTCTTGAGTACTGGCATTACAGAGATGAACCACCACATTGGGCCTTAAGACACACACTTTAAAGACTTTGATTTGTAAAGTAGGAAATGGAGACAGTCAATGATAATGGGCAGAACACCATTAAAAAGGTATAGAATTTGCTTTTCTGTTTGTATTTGTCTAAACAAAAATGAGTTTAAAAAACTGTTGAAGAGGGGCTGGAGAGATGGCTCAGCAGTTAAGAGTACTGGCTACTTTTCCAGAGGACCCAGCCTAGATTCCTAGCTCCCACATATTGGCTCACAACCATCTGCAACTCCAATTCCAGAGGACCAATCCAATGGCTTTCTGAGGCAACATGTGCATGCACACGGTACACAGACATGCGGTCACACAAAATTAGAATGAAATCTAAACAACAAGCCAGCATGCATAAAGTAGCCAATAAAAATAAGTCATAATAAATTTATGCAGCAATGGGAATATTTCAGACAATAAGTTGCCTATCTTCCCACCTAATTTGCCACAGGCAGATTTAGCCTTCCAGAATGCCACTTGTATTGTTTTTGTTTGTTTCATTGGTTTTTTTGTGGTAAGGGTAGGATGGGAGTTGAGTGACGGGGTCTCATGTATCCCAGGATGCCCTCAAGCTTGCTGTGAAGGCTAGGACAACTTCAACTTCTGCTCTGCCTGTCTCCACTGTTCCAGCATTAGCACTTCAGACTCAGGCTGCCATTCTCCGTTTATGTAGTGATAGGGATCACAAACTCAGGGTTTTATGAATGACAGACAGCACTTTCCTAGGCATATAACCCCAGCCTTCTTGGTCATCTTCAAATTTAAAGAGCAGAGGAAAATTCCAGAAATCTGCCTTCAATCAATATGGATAAAGGAAGGAATGCTGAATGAATAGTAGAAAACAAATCAAAATACTTTTTTAAGCCCTCTTGAGACAGGTCTTGTCCTATAGCCTAAGTTGGCCAGGAACTTGGCAATCCTGCTTCAGCCTCCTCAGTGCTGGGATTGTAAGCATGCACACCATGAGCAGCTACTTTACTCAAAACCAGTACTATGAGAGATACTTCAAGTAAAGAATGTAAGAAAATTAAATTATTACTTAATAATCATGCTAATTACCTGTATGCTACCATCTCACACTCTGGAGTTGGCCATTTCAAAATAGCTGAGTGCTACAAGACACAAAACATAGGATATATTACAATATTTATTTTTAACAATACTACTTTATAATGAAGTTTTCATATGTAACTGTTACAGATGTAACTTATATCATCCCAGAAAATACCAAATGACCCTACCAAATCATCAAGAAGAGAATTCCTCTGGTTACGGCTCAAGGTCCATGCCTGTTCACCTCTGGATATTAAGTGGGCGATAATCCCAGCCGCAAAGTAACTGACTTCTACTTCCACACTGTGCAGGAGACTGCTGATATGGTCTATGAAATCCTTCCACATTAATTCAGAGTGTAGCTCTTGTACTTCAGCTATATTGTTCTGGGAGAAAAAGAAGGTATAAAAGTCTTATGCAAAGGAAACAGCTAAGAGAACTGTTTCAGACACTAGACAAGCACTAATGGTGATCGACAAAGTATACAGAAGGCATTTTACAGACTGCAACAAAGGAAAGGGGAATTGTGGTAGTTTGAGTAGTAAGTATCCCCCTAGTCTTAGATATTTGAATACTTGGTCCTCAACTGCTGCTGCTGGGAGATTTAGGAAGTGTGGCCTTGTTGTTAGTTTGTCACTGGGGTGCACTTTAAGGTTGCAAAGCCTTGCACCATTCCCAGTGTGCCCCTTCTCACCATGCTTGGGATTCAAGATGTGAGCCGTCAGCTTCTATTCCTGCTGCCATTCTGACACTGGCTGCTATCATGGGTTGTTTCTTTAAAAAAACTTTTTTTTGACTGTGAGTTCAAGGCTGGTCTAGTTTACAGAGCTAGCTTCCTTCCAGGACAGCCCAGGCTAGTTTTCAGTACAAAACAAAAGAACTTTTTTTGAGGTTTTTAAAAATGTATATGCGCAAGTGTAACCAGGTGTGTGCAGTGACTAGAAGCCAGGAGAGCATATCAGATTCCTGGGGCTGGACTTGCAGATAGTTGTGATTCTCCACATGGGTCTCCACCAAGGACTTGACCCTGGGTCTTCTGGAAAAGCAACCAATACTTTTTTTTCAAGACAGGGTCTCACTATGTAGCCCTGGCTGTCCTAGAACTTGCTCTGCATAACAGATTGTCCTAGAACTCATAATAATCTGCCTGCCTCTATCTCTGGAGTGCTGGGATTAAGGTATAACCCCCCCAACACCCCCATAACCAATACTCTTTTTTGTTTATCAAGACAGGGTTTCTCTGCATAAGCCTGGCTGTGCTGCAACTCTCTCTGTAGACCAGGCCGGCCTCAAACTCAAGAGATCCACCTGTCTCTTGAGTATTGATGTTAAAGAACTGTACCACTACACTAGGCTTGTTGTATCTTTTTAATTTAATAATTATACTTTAATTATACTGTTTTCCATTGTCGCTAGATATTAAAAAACAACACACCACAATCTTTCTATATTTATTTTTCTTTTAAGACAGTCTCACTACTCTGTAGGAACTTAACAGAGATTCACCTTCACTACCACACCCAGCTTCCTTCCTTCCTTCTTTTTGAGATGAGGTATCATGTAACCCTTAGCTATGCAGGAGAAGATGCTTTGAATTTCTGATTCTCCTGTCCCCACCCTTCATCTCCCAAGTATGAGATTACAGGTGTATGTAATCTCATTTTTATACTTTATACTCATGTTTGTATTTTCTTTACACATCCAAATTTATATGATACAGAGGATAGAAACCAAGTTTCATGCATGCTAGACAAGCACTCTATCAATGGACCTGGACGACATATATCCCCATTTGTTTACCTGTGTGTGTGTGTGTGTGTGACATGTTGAGGTCAGAGGACAAATGTCATCATGTGGTTTCTAGGGTCAAGCTCCTATTACCAGGCTCTGCATCAAATGTCCTTACCAAATGAGCAGCCTTGAGGGCCCAAGAGGCAACTTCTAATGCACACACTCAGACAGAAAATAAATATGCCTTGGAATTAATCAGGAACTGTGTATAACTTACCAAAAGTCCTAGAACTTTTTGTTGAATGGATGACTCAGTTGGGAAAGACTGTACAAAAAAAGAGAGAGAGAGAGAACGTATAACTATCTAAAGAAACAAATATAATAAAGAAATGCTCAAAGAAATCAACCATATCCAAACTGTTAAGTAAAATTCCATTCTAACCTCTAGAACTCTCATGAAGAGTTCCAACCCTTGATTTTCAATGAAGTGTCTGCATGTTGTTGGGGACTCATCTGTGAGGTTCCAAAGTGCACTCAAAGTAAATTTCAATGTAGTGTCCACTGAATTTTGATTAGTTTTCTGCTTCACTATTTGAAGAAGTTGCTAAGGGAGAAAAAAAGAATTAAATTGTCATAATTTGAGATTACCAATAAGCACAAATCCATGAGGACTATTCTCATAGCTTAAAGCATCCCTGTAAAGATTTTTAAAAATGTAAAGTATATGTATTTATTTATCTAGTGTGTTGGGGTGGGCACATCCATGCCACAGCATGTGTGTAGAGGTCTGAGAACAACTCACAGGAGTTGGGTTTTTTTCCACCCTGTGGGTCCTGGGGATTGAACTCATGTCATGGGTGGCAGGAAACATCTTACTTGCTGTCCTACCTTGCTAGCCCTAGTTTATTTTGTATTGTTTCTTGAGACAGTCTTGCTGTGCAACCCAGGGCCAGTCAACTTGACACAAGCTACAGTCACTTTGGAAGAAGGACTCTCAAATGAGAAAATACCTCTACAGGACTGCAAGCAATTCTGTAGCCTATTTCCTTGATTAGTGATTGCCGTAGAAGGGCTCGGCCCATTATGGATGGTGCCCTTTCTGAATAGGTAACCCTAGGCATGTGTAAGAAAGCAGCCTGAGCAAGTATTCTTCCATGGCCTCTACATCAGTTTCTGCCTTTCCGAGATGATGCGCTCCAAGCTGTAAGATGAAATAAACTCTTCTACAAGTTGACTTTGGTCATGGTGTTTTATCACAGCACCAGAAACCCCAAGACAATAGCCAAAGCTAACTTCTAAGTCAAGATCTTCCTGCCTCAGCCAATGTAACACTGGGATTTCGGAGGCTGTGGCAGGAGGACTGTCACAACTTCAAGTCCTTCCTGAACTACACACACAGTGATAAAAGAACTGAAGTTTATACTGGGTATTAAGATAACAATAGCTTTGACATGTCTTCTTCTTCTTCTTTTTGTTTGCTTGCTTTTTTTTTTTTTTTTTCAGAGACAGGGTTTCTCTGTATTGTTTTGGAGGCTGTCCTGGAACTAGCTTTTGTAGACCAGGCCAGTCTCGAACTCACAGAGATCCACCTGCCTCTGCCTCCCGAGTGCTGGGATTAAAGGCGTGTGCCACCAATGCCCAGCCTGACATGTCTTCTTATAAGCTACATCTACAGTAACTAGCCTAAGAAATGCAGTTTGTGAGCTAGGTGTGGGGGTGCATGCTTTTAGTCACAACTCTTGGGGCTGAATAATATGCATCAGGCTCTGGGTTCAACCTCAGGAACAATGAACTTAGTTATTATCATCATTACTATTAACTTTGCTTACACAAAATATATCCAGTAGATTACTCTCTTAAATTTTTTAATATACTGTCAGCCAGAATTACTGAGATATCTACATAGTTCCTAAAAGTCTTTCACCTCTGCTTTTTGAGATAGGGTCTCATTTTATAAAGCCCTGACTAGCCTAGAATTCATTAGTTAGACCTGTCTGGCTTTGAACTTACAGAGATCTACTTGCTTTCATATCTCAAATGCTAGGATTAAAGGCATATACCACCATGCCTGGCTCCAAAATATTCCCTTTTTGATTTTTATTTACAAAAATAAATTTTTTAAATTTTATTTGTATATGTGTGTGCCTGTGTGTATGTATCACATGCAAGCAGCTGTCCATGAAGGCCAGGAAAGCATTGAATTCCCTGGAAGTGGAGTTGCAGGTGATTATAGACCACTCAGTGTGGGTGCTGTGAGCTAAACCCAGGTCCTCTGCAAGAGTAGCAAGTGTTCTTAAGCCCTGAGCCAAGGACTGGCTATTAGTTCACAGCTGTTTGCATCTGTCAAGGACTAAAGTTACTGAAATAAAAAAAATATATACATTTGGGCCTGGAGAGATGGCTCAGTGATCAAAGCGTACTTGCAGAGAAATCCCATCATTCACACGGTGGCTCACAACCACCCTTAGCTCTAGTTTCAGGATATCTACGATCTTCTTCTGACCTCTGCAGGCACCAGGCATGCACATGGTATACATACACACACAGGCAAAAAAACTCATACACACAAAAATGAAACAAATGTATAACATGGAAAAAAAAGAATACATTTGAGGTCAGGAATACAGCTTAGTGGTGGAATGCCTGCCTAGCATATGCAAGGTCAACCCCTAATTCTACAAACGACCAAATATCAAATCAAAACAAAACAAGAAACAACTGAATACATTCATTTAGAAGAAGTGAATTAATTAAAAAATAGAGAAAAGCTGGGACAGGGGTGGTCTATAGTAGAAAGATGACAAAGCATGTGTGAAACCCTGGCTTAGATCCCCAGGAACACGAACACATACACATACACATACACCTACACCCATACATACTCACAAAAGATACACCACATCAAGGAGCCGGGCGTTGGTGGCGCACGCCTTTAATCCCAGCACTCGGGAGGCAGAGGCAGGCGGATCTCTGTGAGTTCGAGGCCAGCCTGGTCTACTGAGTGAGTTCCAGGACAGCCTCCAAAGCTACAGAGAAACCCTATCTCGAAAAACCAAAAAAAAAAAAAAAAAAAAAAAAAAAGAATACTATCAAGGACTGGAGAGATGGCTCAAAGATTGAGAGCACTGGTTAATCCTCAAGAGAACCTGGTTTAATTATCAGCACCCATGTGGCAGCTCACAACTGTCTGTAACTCCAGTCCCATGGGACCCAATTCACTCTTTTAGACTCCACCAGGACCAGAACACCTCCACACAGTGCACAGACACACATGGAAGCAAAATACCTATACATGTAAAATAAATACATTTTTAAAAATTAAAAACAAAAAAAAAAAAAACAAAACAAGCAAAAAAACCAAAACACTATGAAGTATCCTAAAAAGAGGGAAAGTAAACTTACCCGGACAATGAAGAGCTCAGCACCAAGCTGCGCAGTTTGCTCTGTAGAAAGCTAGAAGCAAATATAAGATAAAGGAAATGCCCAGGAGTTAATAGGTGTGAGTTTACTATATTTCACCATAACAGCCTCCATAGCCAGACTGAAATAGCTCATTAGCCTCCCCCCATTCTGCAATATTCAACACAATTAAATAAGCAGGACAGCAGAGAGGTGTACTAACTTTTCTGGCATACAACAGAGGGGGCAGCAGTAACTGCAATGAGCAACAACCGCCTTTAGGAAATCATTCAGCAAAGTTCAGGTACCTTGGCAGCCAGGATGGAAATGATAGCAACTGCCATTCTTTGCATGTTTTGATCTTCGTGATTGCAAAGCCACTGCATGACAAGCTTGGCTGCTTCAAACCTGAAAACACAAGAGGGTTTCCTCAATCTTGGAGATCCAGGTACGATTTTAGGGAGCCGGGGAAGGCTGATACTACCTACAACTTAATGTGTGGGAAAGGAAGCTTTCTCTTAATGAAGGAGAATAACAAATTACCATTAGTATTTTCAAAATGTTGAGAACTGGACCCAGAGCCTTGTCTAGGCAAAAGTTCTACCACAGATATATATCCCCAGACCTTTATCTTATTTATTTATAGTGTCTATCATTTTTATTTTCCTTACTGGTAGTGTGTGTATGTTTGTTTATCTATGATGTGCATGAGTGTGCAGGTATGCTATGATATATATATATACATATACATATGTATATATATGTGGCCATCAGAGAACAAATTTTTAGAATCAGTACTCTCCTTCCACTGTGGGTTCTAGAATTTGAACTCAGATGGTCAGGCTTTTGTGAAAAGTGCTTTTTACCAGCTGAGCCATCTTTTTTTTTTTTTTTCATTTTTTTTTCATTTTATTTTCCAGTTTAAATTTAGATAAGAATCAAGGTTGCTTCACAAGTCAGTTCCAGGTCCCTCTCCCATTCCCTCCCTTCCTCCCGTGCCCCCCCCCCCCGTTATCCCCTCATTTCTCCAGGGAGGGTGAGGCCCTCAATGGGGGTGTCCATAGTGTGTCATTTCATATAGGGCAGGGCCTAGACCCTTTCCCAAGAGTTCAGGGTGAGAGTGCACCTCACATTGTTCTATTGGAGTCCAAAGTCCGTGTGTATACTTGGGATGGGTCCAGCTGAGCCATCTTGCCAGCCCTTATTTGTGTCTTTTTGAGATAGGGTCTCATGCAGCTCAGGCTGTCCTCAAACTCTCTATGAAGCCAAGGATGACCTTAAACTGCTGATCTTCCTGCCTCCACCTTCCATGTGCTGGAATTACTGGCATGTGCCACTATACCTGGCTGTTTGTTTTCATTTTGAGACAGTCTCAAGTAAGTTGCCAGGCAGGCTTTGAACTTCTAGTTCTCCTCCTGGGATTATAGGCCTGCACCACTGTGCTCATCAAAATGCTAGCAATGGTAGAGAAACAGGAGCATGGGGCTGCGGAGAAAGCTCAGCTGGTAAAGGGCACGCTGTGCCAGCATGAGGACCTGAGTTGAATCCCCAGCAACCATGTAAAAGAGCTCGGCATGGCAACGCATACCTGTAATCTTAGCTCTGGGGAGGCAGAGACAGGAGGATCCCTGGGACTTGATGGCCAGCCAGTCTAGCCCACTCCGTGAACTCCAGGTTCAGTGAGGGACCCTGTCTCAAAAAAATAAGGTAAGGAGCATTGAGGAAGACACCCAATGTCAACCTCTGGTTTTCACACTGATACATGTGTACATTGTGCACACACATAACAACACACCCCCACAAAAACACACAGAGAGACACAATAATATAGAGATATAGTCAAAATTGGCATTTTACCTTCTACAATGAAAACACTTCAGTATTTCAACATCATAGCTTTAAGCATAATCTTTGTTAAACACTTTTAAAATTAATTTTATATGAGTGTGTGAACACATGCATGTTCTCACGCAGCATGCATATGAAGATCAGAGGACAACTTGAGGGAGTCAAACTGTCCCTCCTTCTACCATGTGGGCCTTGGGGGTTGAATTCATGTTGTCAAGCTATTACTTGCCTATTAAATGGAACATCTTGAAGAATCCGGTCACTGCAAAGTGAGAGCAGGCAATTCTTCTGTAACTAAAGCATAAAAAGGAGAGAGAAAAAGAACAAAACAAAACTGAAAAGAACATCATTCTCTTATCTTTGAGCCAAAGATAGTCTTTTAAAAAGTATTTTAAAAATTATGTTTAAATGTGTGTGAGGAGGGTGCGGGCATGGTAAGTGCTGGAGATTGAACCCAAGGCTCATGAATGAAAGGCAAACACTCTGACTAAACCCCAGTTACTTATACAACCAGCTCCAGCTACTGTTTTTTTTTTTAAAGATTTATTTATTTATTACAGATACAGTTTGTCTACATGCCAGAAGAGGGCATGCACCAGATTAAATTGTAGATGGCTGTGAGCCACCATGTGGTTGCTGGGAATTGAACTCAGGACCTCTGGAAGAGCAGTCAGTGCTCTTAACCTCTGAGCCATCTCTCCAGCCCCTCCAGCTACTGTTTTTAAATCGTGAAAGATACACAATTTTTGTTCTTAGTCTGAGACAGATCTCTCAATTATGTGGCTCTGGCTGTCCAGGAGCTTGCTATGTAAACTATACTGGCCTTGAATTACCAGAGATCAACCTGTGTCTACCTCCCAAATGCTAAGATTAAAGGTTTGTACCACCACACCTGATCAAAAGTATGTTCTTTAAACGAATTCTTTATAAATGTTATCAAGAATAAATTGTTTTCGGAAAACTTTATACTTTTTTTTTTTTTTTTTTTTTAGTTTTTGGTTTTTCGAGGCAGGGTTTCTCTGTATTGTTTTGGAGGCTGTCCTGGAACTCACTCTGTAGACCAGGCTGGTCTCGAACTCACAGAGATCCGCCTGCCTCTGCCTCCCGAGTGCTGGGATTAAAGGCGTGCGCCACCAACGCCCGAAAACTTTATACTTTTAAACATAGGAATTCAATTCAGATTTTATATCAGTACATTAAATTATGTTCTTTGAAAGCCCTTTAACTTTAAAAACATTTATTTTATTTTGTGAATGTTTTGCCCGTGTATATGTGTACCCAACATGTATGCCTAGTGTCTGCAGAGGTTATGAGCCTCCATGTTGACACCGGTGTTAGTATTTAGGCATCTGTACTGGCCTGTACTTGGGGTTCTGACAGGATACGCCCTCAGCTGCAGCCACTGAGAGCACCACCAGTGCATATTCACTATGCTCCCTTTTAAAAGGACCCAGCCCACCTCCGATCCTCCTCTTTCTCTCCCTCTATCTGTTCCCCCCTTTCTTCTCTCTCCTCTTCTTTCCTTTCTCCTCTCTCCTGCTGCTCCTGTCTCCAGGGGCCAGTCTCCCCTCTTCCCTTTCCCCTTTTTATGATCCCTTTTCCTAATTAAAAATAAAACAAAAACAAAAAACCTCTGCTTGGCGTTTTTCTCTCGTCTGCTGCTTTTCTTAAATTACAACAACTGAGAACTGAAAACCTGGGTCCTCTCTAAGAACAAGTCTTGGCCAATAAGTCAACTCTCAGCTGGCACCCCACTCCCTACCCCGTTCATTTGAGTCATGATCTCACGCAGCCCAGGCTGGCCTCTGACTTACTATGTAGCTGAGGATGACTTTGAACTTTTAGTCTTCCTGTTTTTAACCTCTCAAGTGCTGGGATTACAGGCAAACAAGTGTAAGCCCTATTCCCAGGGAAGGAACCATGGGCTTTGTATATTCAAGGCAAGCACTCTCTCAACTGAGCTATATTCTTAGGCTCTGGAATTTACATCTCTCAGGATGCTTTCTTAGTTTTCGACTGTCCTAACTGCCCCCCTTGAGCTCCTCACAGTACAGTACTACTTAGCTGAAATGTCTGGGAGAAGAAAAAGTGGACTTCAGAGCTTTTAGTGTAAGGCAAGATTTCAAAGAGCAGGTTATGTTGGAGCAATTATCTTGAAAATTGGTTAGGAAAATCAGTGGAACTATTATGAGAATAGGCAGGCCACTCTAAGGGCAAGCAGCAGCTTGTGACCAGAGTGTAAGAAGGACAAGGCATTAAGATTTGGGAACACTGGCATGGACTTTACCAGTTAAGTAGACCAAATATGAAAATAAATAATCTGAAATAAGAAGTTCTCTGAGGCCAGGCGGTGGTAGCACAAGCCTTTAATGACAGCACCCAGGAGGCAGAGGCAGGCAGATGTCTGTGAGTTGGAGGTTAGCCTGGTCTACAAGGGCTAGTTCCAGGACAGTTAGGGCTACACAGAGAAATCCTGTCTTAAAAAAAAAAAAAAAGCTCTCTGAGTATCATAAAGGGCATCAAAGGTTTTGTTTTTCAGTCTCCGATTCTCGATTTTGACATTAGGGCTCTTAAGCTGACTTGCTTCTTAGTACTTGCTATGCTGTACCACACTGTGAGTTTTTCTGTCTGAATTGCAGACCTCATCATAGGGAATAAAGAGACACTAAACTTAATTGAACTAATGGCTTAAATTGGTAACAGAAAAGCATCACTGGGTCTGATCAATGGCTTATTCCCTCTGCAAAATGTCATAAGAAAACAAGAGAAAATGGCATTTGTTACTTTCTTCAAGTTTTGACCAACTGGAATTTTGACTTTTATGGCTCTAGCCTCAAATATGCAAGTATTCAAGAATTTTCAATACTGCCATTCACCAAATTTGGCTATCACTGGCCTAATCCTACACTGTCCTTCCTACATTCTGGTTACAAGCAACTTGCCCTCACTGGAATGGCCTGTGCATTCCCATTTAGGTCCCATTGCTTTTCTTATCCATTTTCCAAGTTGTGGCTCCATCACCTGCTCTATGAAGTCTTCCTGTGCCTTGTCCATACACTATGTACCTGGCAGCACTACTCATTTCCCTCAAGCTCCTATGACATTTACTTCAAACAGCATCCAATAGCTGCAACTTTTCCTTCTTTGACAGGAGTCTTACTAGGTTAAGCAGGATGGCCTGTAATTCCTGGGCTCAAGAGATCCTGTAACACAAAAAAATAAAAGACCCAGAGACTGATATTGGGGTTCAAGCTTCAAGCTGATGATCAGAGAAGGAAGGCATCCAGCCACTAGCTCTTGTCTCTAGCTCAGGTTGAAAGGTGATCCTGGCTCCACCAGACCTCAGACTGAAATCCCAGACTGCTACGCTCTCCTCAACGTGGCTGGAGAATGCTGAGACTTCAATGTCTTCTTATCCTCAATGTGACTGGAGAACGAATACCAGCTCTGAGACCCTGTTCCTCTCTTAAACAACTCTCATGAGTCTGGGATTAAGGGCATGTGATCCCAGGTACTGAGATCATCTTTGTGTGAGCTGTTTCTCTTTAGGACTGGATCAATTTTGTATAGCTCAGTGTGGCCTTGAACTAACAGAGATCCTTCTACCTCTTAATCCTGAGTCCTGGGATTAAAGGTGTGTGCCTGGTTTCTAAGACTTGTGGCTGACTGTGCTTTCTGAATTCTAAGGCAAGCTTTAATAAATCATAAATAATATATCACCACAAGATCCTCCTTCCTCAACCTCTCCTGTAGCTGGGTCTACAGGTACACAGCAGCATGCCTATCTAAATATTAAGTCTTTATTTTCCAGATTTATTTTTTCATTTGTGTGTTTATTGTTTTTCAAGACATGGTTCCTCTGTATTGCTTTGGAGCCTGTCTTGGAACTTGCTCTGTAGACCAGGCTGGCCTTGAACTCACAGAGGTCCACCTATCTCTGCCTCCTGAGTGCTGGGATTAACAGCGTGCACCACCACCACCCAACCAGATTTATTTCTATACCATCTATGTGTGTGTGCCTGAGTGTACATGTGGACCATGTATATGCAATGCCTGCACAGACCAGAAGAGGACATCAGATTTCCTCTGAAGGTGGAGTTACAGGTGGTTTGTTGGCTGCTATGTGGGTGTTGGGAACTCATCTAGGTCCTCTGAAAGAGCAGCAAGTGCTCTGAATCATTAAGTCATCTTTCCAGCCCCATAAACTAAGTAACATTTAAATGTTGTATTTATTAATCTGTGATGAGTATGTGTGGTTTGATGTGCATGAGCATGTGGGGGCCAGAGGTCTACACTGGTAATCTTCCACTATTATTCTTTACCTTATCTTTGAGACAAAGTCTCTTTTTATGATGGTTAATCTCAATTTAGGGATGGGCCTCTGAGCATCTCTGAGGGGTTATCTTGATTGGTTAATTGAGAAGAGAAGACTCACCCACTGTGGATGGCACCATTCCCTAAACTAGGATCCTGGACTGGAGAAAAGGAAAAAGTGTGCTAAACACTAGAAGCCACCACCATTTGACTACTGGTGCAATGCTGCCAGCCAATTCTCCTGCTCCTGCTGCTGTGATATTCCCACAACAATGGACTGTAACTTTAAACTTTAAGTCAAAGTAAAAGCGTCCTTTAGTTATCTCAGCAGAAGATTTTATTGCAGACTGGAAAAGTAACTAATATTCTTACTGAACCTGGACTAAAGTTTCAGCTAGACGAGCTGGTCAAAGAGGTCCCAGGATCCACCTGCCTCTGCCCCTATAGGACTGGAGACCTGAACTCAGGTGGTCCTCCTGATTGTACAGCAAGCACATTCACTCAATCTCCTAAATAAAAATTTCCTAATATAAAATACATATATTATATGACAATACCTCTTAATCTTCAACAGATAAGACACCAATCACCTAAGAATTATTTTGGAGGTGAACGATTTGTGACAGTGTCTCACATTTCCCAAAATGGCTTGAATTCACTACATAGTCAAGGATCCCTGGTCTTCCAGTTTCACCTCTTATGTGCTTAGATTACAGGAATTTACCACATTTGACCTGCACAAATTTTGCATTTAAAAGTCTATAACTTCGAAAAAATATTGTATCTCCTGTATTTGTCTGTGTGGGGATGGGGTGGGGGGACCAGAGGACAACTTATGGGAGTCAGTTAAATTTCTCAATGTGGATCTTGGAGGTTGAACTCAGGCTGTCAGTGGCAAACATCCTTACCTGCTAGGCTATATCATGAGAGAGGGGGAGGGCGAGGGAGAGAAAAAGGAGGAGAGAGAGGGGGGAGAAGAAGGAGAGAGAGAGAGTTTGAGAATGCCAGAGCACATGTGTGAAGGCAGGCAGATCTCTTGAGTTCAAGGCCAATCTTGTTTACAGAGTAAGTTCTAGGACAGCCAGACCTACACAGAGGATCCCTATCTTGAAAAAACATTACTGTTTTTTTAGCACTCTGTTGTATATTTGGTGCTTCTAATTTTTATCATTATACATAGTATTCATACAGACTCTTTTTTAACTATATGACAGGTTTATTAAGATACAATTCATATAGTATACAATTCATGTTATGTGTGGTTTTTAGTCTCTGCGGTTATAATCCTATGATAGAAGAATTAGTACAGTACATCTCTCCCCGCCCCCCCTTTTTTTAAGACAGTGTCCTCTAATCAACTGGGCCTTAAACCTGCTATGTAGGTGAACATGACCTTGAACTCCTGCTCTTGAACTCCTGCTCTTCTTACTCCCAAATACTGTGTTCTGAATTACAGTAAGGCACCACCATACCCAGTTTTGTTCAGTGATGGGGATTAAACCCAGGGCCCTGTGTATAATAGGCAAACATCCTACAAACTGGGCCACATCTCTCGCCCAGTTTTTAGCATGTTTTCCTATCTCCAAAAGAAATCCAGCTGAGGATGCAGCTTGTGACAGAGTATTTGCCCAACATTGGCATGGCCCTGGATTTGAGTCTTAGCACTGAAAAAAAAAAATCCCACATCTGTTATCTATTACAATCACTCTCCATTTTTGCCACCCTTACTTCTTAATTTTTTATTATGAATTTTTTCTCAGTTTTCATTTGCTAATTACAATACAATCTTGGTTCTGTTTTTTTGTTTTGTTTTGTTTTCTCTATGTAGCCCTGGCTGCCCTGGAACTTGCTGTGTAGACCAGGCTATCCTCAGAGTTAGAGAAATCACCAGCTTCTGCCTCCCAAATGCTGGGATTAAAGGCATGCCCGGAACACCAAGAAGTGTTAATTCTGGGCATGGTGATGCATGCCTAATCTCAGAATGTGGAAATGTAGTTGGGGGGAATCAGGTGTTCAAGAACAGCTTGGGCTACAAAAGAGCCTGCTTTGAAAGAACAAAGCAGCAAACAAGAAGGCTTGGTTTATTAAATTGAACTGTATGGAAATAGGAGTGGTAAAAGAAGAATCTAAGAATACTTGAATGTGAATTCACAGGTGCTTACCTGCTGGTGATTAGGAAAATGTTCCATGGCCTTGAGCAGCAAATGGGTCACATCAGCGAGGAGCCGGACAGGCATGCCTAAAGCAAGGTCCTGTTTAGTTAAGTTAAACACACAGGCACTAGCAGCCAGTTGCACAGGCAAATTCATAGGATGGTTTCTCATTCCAGTAACCACAAGCTGAAACAAAACAAAACATTTAGTCATCTTAATTCACCTCGTAAACACAAATCCTCTTCATATAATAAGGCTGCATTGTTGTTACAGAATAACTTCAAAGACATGTTCATATGGAAAGCACCTAGGCCATTACTATTCTCAACTCCCAAACTTCCCTTCCTTGCCAGAACTGCCAGTTAGAATGCAATAAAATACATCCTCTCTCTGGACTAGACAACTATTCTTCACTTGTCTTCTTTCCCTCCTAAAGTCCTCCCTATTCTTCAATTCAGCTGAAAACTTAGCTTTGTGTGTATGTGTGTACATATATATGTGACCACAGAGGCCAGAAGAGGGTGCCAGATCCCTCAGAACTGAAGTTACAGGCAGTTGTGAGCTGCCCGATGTGGGACAAAAACCCCAGAGGTTCTCTGAAGAGCAGAAAGTGCTCTCAATTAACCACTGAGCCCTCTCTCTAGCCCTAGAGAACCAAGCTTTCAACCACACTAAGAAAACTGAAGTAACTGGAAAGAACTTCAGATTCTGACTACCCCTTGTATTCTCCTTACCAGGATACCTTGCCAAACCACACGTGATCTTTTGCAATCCTTTCTAAAGTTGCTCCCTCCATGGCTATGCCAGATCATTTCCTTGTCTGTCTATTCAAGGAAATTATTATTTCTACATCACTTTTAAAATTCTGGATTGGGAAGATCAGCACATTTTAAAAGCTATTCATTTATAAATAATGGGGAAGAGCGGGCTGGAGAGATGGTCCAGCGGTTAAGAGCACTGACTGTTCTTCCAGAGGTCCTGAGTTCAATTCCCAGCAACCACATGGTGGCTCACAACCACCTTGAATGAGATCTGGTGCCCTCCACTGGCACACAGGCAGAAGACTGTATACACAATAAATAAATAAAATATTTAAAAAAAAATAATGGGGAAGAGCACTGCACTTGCCTGTAATTCCAGTATTGGGAGGCTGAGGCAGGAAGACTGTAAATATGAGGCCTAACTGGGTGACACAGCAAGATCCTATCTAAAAAACAAAACTCTACTTATGTAAATGGGCTTTAATCTTTAATTAATTAATATTTCAATCAGGGCTAGAGATCTAGTCCTTTGTGCTCAGTTTTATAGAAACCAAAACTGGAGCTGGCTAACAGTGGCACAAATCTTTAATCCAAGCACTCAGGAAGCAGAGGAAGGCAGATTTCTGAGTTCAAAGCCAGCCTAACTACAGAGTGAGTTCCAGGATAGCCAGGGCTACACAGAGAAACCCTACTGAGGAGGTGGGAACACCTGTTATGGATGGTTTTTCCCACCAGCCTAATCCCATAGCCGCATTACTCCCAATTAAATACACAGACACTATATTAATTATGAAACTGTTGGTCCATGACTAAAGCTTCTTACTGGCTAGCTCTGTCTTAATTATCAACCCATTTCTATTAATCTAAGTATTTCCACGTGGTCTTATCTCACCAGAGAAGGGTCCAGATCTCTTACCCCTTTGGGGTCTCCCATGGCATCTGACTCTGACTATGTTTCCCAGAATTCTCCTTATCTCCTAGATCTGCCTATCCTGTTGCCCTATAGGCCAACAGTGTTTTATTCATCAACCAGGAAGAGAAACATATGTACAGAAGACATCCCCATCACATACCAAAACTGGAAGGGGAAAAAAAAGACAAAGCAAGTACCAGCATCTACTGGTTTACATGGAGGGCGTGACAGGCATTAGTGATAATAGTAAAATGTTACAATTCCTACCCAAACCCATTCAAAAAATTAAGATAACTAGGGTATCAAATCAGTTCTAGCTCTGCCGCTGACTTATTCTTTCTTAACCCCAGAGGTCCTCAGTTTCACAATCTATAAAATGGTAGATAAAATCCACGTCTTCAGACTACACCCACTAAATGAAACAGGAAATAAAGTCTTGCACTCATTAGATTTCAAAACTGAATGTGCATAAAAATTATTTGCAACTATGGAGGCAGAGGCAGGTGGATCTCTATGAGTTCGAGGCCAGCCTGATCTACAAGAGCAAGTTCTAGGGAAAGCCTCCAAAGCCACAGAGAAACCCTGTCTCGAAAAACCAAAAAAAAAAAAAAAAAAAAAAAAGAATTATTTGTGGCTAAAATATAGATCCGTGAGGTTTGTGTAGCTTTATCAAATCTAAATTTCTTGTGTTCCTATTGGTTATTATTTATGTATATCTGTGCTAGAGGTCAAACACAAGTTCTCTACCACTAAACTATATATCCTCCATCTCTTTCTTGAGTCAAGGTCTCACTACATAGCCCTGGCCAACCTAGAACTTGCTCTGCAGACCAGGCTGGCATCAAACTCAGAGATCTGTTCACCTCTGCCTCAAAAGTGCCAGGGTTAGTGGCACACACCCACACCTGACCTTAAATTTGTATTAAGGCAAGGTTTCCTCAGTTTTCTTTTAAGTTTTTAGATTTGTTGTACTTCTATGTATATGCATGTTTAGCTTGTGTGCATGAATATGTACCACATGTATGCCCGTTTGATTACCTGGAACTAAAGCAATGGATGGCCATAAGCCACCACATGGGTGCTAGGAATCAAACCTGGGTCTTCTCCAAGAACAACAAGTACCCTTAAATGCTGAACCATCTCCCCAGCCTCAAAGCTCTCTTGAAGCCTAGGTTGCTCACTTGGGCTTGAACTTGAAACCCTTCTACCTCAGTCTCCTGAATGCATGGTGGTGGTGGTGGTGGTGGTGGTGGTGGTGGTGGTGGTGGTGGTGGTGGTGGTGGTGGTGGTGGTGGTGGTGTGTGTATTGAGCTATATCCCCCATTCCTTACTAATTTTTATTTTGAAACAAACTATTGCTATGTAACATACGATGGCCCTGAGATCACTCTATGATGCAGGTCAAACATGAACCTGTTACCTTCCTGCATTTGCCTCCTAAGTAGTTGTGAATTATAGGACTGTACCATCAGGCCCAGCTAAATACTTGTGTTTATTTATTTATTTATTTTTTAGAATCTCTAATCCCAGCATTTGGGAGGCAGAGGACAACCTGGTCTACAAAGTGAATTCTAGGATACCCAGAGCTACATGGATACCCTGCCTCAAAAAAGAAAAGGAAAAAAAAAGAATTCCTTTCTTGGGTGGGGTATAGCTCAGTTGTAGAGCACTGTCTAATATATGAAAAGCCTTGGATTTAGTGCCAGTACAACAGAAAAATGAAATCTTTCTCAGCTTCAAAAACATCTTAATTGGTTAACACCATGGGTCTGTTACAAAAGTCCAGGGTATTTATAAACAGGAAGGAAAAACACCTTACAGATATTTTTCATTTATTTGTGCATGTATATATACGTACCTGGAAATCAGAGGAAGACTTTTGGCAGCCAGTCTCTCCTTCAACCCATGGGTTCTGGGGGCTGAATTCACACCCTCAGGCTTGGCAGCAAGCTCCTTTAGTGCTGGGCCATCTCACTACTCCCCCCACAACAATTTTTCTGTCATACTAAGGATTGACATCAGGGCCACATGTGTATGAGACAGGACTCTTAACAGTGGATTACATATCCAGATCTACATTAATGGAACTTTTTTTTTGAGACAAGGTCTCACCATGTAGACCAGATTGGCCTCAAATGTGAAAAGATCTACCAGCCTCTGCCTCCTGAGTGTTGGGATTAAAAGATATGTGTCACTGTACTTAGTTTAATGTACAGTTTTTTCCTTAGATAGGGTCTCACATAGCAGAGGTTTTCCTCCAACTCACTACGTAGCTAAGGATGCCCTTGAGTTTCTGATTCTCCTGTCCCCTTCTCCCAAGTACTGGAACTACAGGCATGTGCCACCATACCCAGTTTATAATGTTAAGATAGTAAAGCCAGTCAGACGTTCGTGGTGCAAGTCTTTAATCCCAGCACTCGGGAGGCAGAGGCAGGCGGATCTCTGTGAGTTCAAGGACAACCTGGTCTACAGATCAAGTTCCAGGACAACCTCCAAAACAATACAGAGAAACCCTGTCTCGAAAAACCAAAAAAAAAAAAAAAAAAAAAAAAAAAGAGATTAAAACTTTGGTCTCATATATCCCAGGCAAGACTCTACCAACTGAGCGACATCCCTAGGCCCTACCTTATGGAAATATTTATTTTGGGAGATGTGTGTTGTATGTATGTTAAGTGGTGTTATGTACATATGTTTGTGTAGAGGAGGACACTGTCCTGCTGTGTAACATTCCACCTTGTTACTTTGAGATAGGGTTTCTGGTGGTCAACAAGCCCTAGTAAAGCCACACTGGCTTTTTAAAACATGTGATGCTAGCATTTGAACTTGGTTATTCAAGCTTGCCCACTAAATAATCTTTTCCAATGAGCTATCTTTCTAACCCTACCTTACAAAATTCTGATATTGTATTTCAAAAACACTTCTGAGTTGGAAGTAATACAAGGCTGATGCACATTGATACATTGAGTTCATTTCTATACTTCCATTTTCATGTAATAAAACATCACAGGGTTACTGGTCTGAAGTAACAAAACAGCATTGAAAAGCATTTATATTACTTAATGAGACTAGTATAGACTTCAGGAATGATATGTAATTAACTTACTTATTAACTAATAACTAAAACTGGGATCATCAATCCCATTAAAAATAAAAAAGAAATAAAATACAAGTCAAAACTAAATACACAAAATCTGCTAGGAAATTTTTTACCACCAGTTTCTTTCTTTTTCTTACCTTTAAGATTTCTGGTTTTGTTTTTTCCATCACATGAGTCAGGCTAAAAAGGTGAAACAAAGCTTCCCGGACAAAAAAAGCTCTTTCACTGTACCGCCTTAGTGCTTCTGCGATTTGGGTTTCGTTGGCTTCTCCAGACACCTTTGAACAGCCAGAAGATGAAGTGTTTACAATTCTTTTCACCCTCTACCATTCTCCATCCTAACATCAGCTGCAACAATGGCAGTCAGCATAACTGAGGCTTGAAACACACGGGAATGATCACTTTCTAACCCACCACAGCCACCACACCAAAGACACATACTAGACTAAGAACCCAGCACAAACCTGTGATATTTTCTACACAGCTCCTAGAATAAATCTCGAGACTTTTCATGCTTCATCAAGTCTTGCTGTCTCACTGAGACTTTTAAGCTGCTTCTTAGGGTAAACTCTTTCCTGTAAATCATAATGCTATCAGGATTGCTGGCCTTTCTCCATGATCTTTCAAAAGCTAAGCTCTAGCTCAAAAGATCACCACATACAAGGTCCACTCTAAAATTTTCTCTTTGCTTAACTAATTTGTACTTACCCTTCCTAAGTCAAGCCCATCTTTAGAGAAAGCCTTCCTGACACACCAATCTAAGTCAGGTTTCCCCCAAATTTCTTTTTCCTAGTTATCACAGTCCTCCCACGTCACTGACCCATTTACCACTCAATGTCATCAACAGTGACTAGCATTATGCATGGCTCAGAAGGAACACTTATTATGTATTCATCAAATAAGCCTGTAATTTCCCCACACTGATCAAGCTTCATAAGATGATTTACTCAAAATTGAATCTAACTTAATTTACACAGGTTAATATACTTGTTAAACTTTGGTTCAGGGAGTACTGTGAAACCAAATACAGTTAATGAAAAGTGACACTATAAAGTAATCAAACTAGCAAGTGAAAAATGATTGCCAGGCAGAAGCACATGCCTTTAATCCCAGCACTTGGGAGGCAGAGGCAGGCAAATCTCTGTGAGGAGCTCTAGGCTATTCTGATCTATAAAGCAAATTCAGGACAGACCCCAAAAACTCCAAAGCTACACAGAGAAACCCTGCCTCAAAAAAAAAAAGTTACAGGGCTGATGAAATGGCTCAGTGGGTGCAGGTGCTTGCAATGCAAGCCTGGTTACCTGAGTCTGATCCCTAAAACCCAAGTAAAGGTTGAAACAGAACCAATTTGACAAAGATGTACTCTGACATCTACAAACTCACATGTGTATGCACACCTGCACAAGTACAGACACACATCATGATGATCTCCAATGAATGAGATTTAGGTACTATACAATCCCCAGTGAATTAATTATCTGATACTGAATACCAATAACTGCTGATGTTACAGGAAGAGAAGACTAACATCATACACAAAAGAGTACTTAATTTAACTAAACTCCAAGCCCAGCTAATAATTTGCAGAAAACAGGAATGGAGGTTGAGGCAGGAGAATTCTAAGTTCAAGGCCAGCTTAGACTATACTGTAAGTACCAAGTCAGCATGAGATACAGAAAGAACCTATCCCAACTCTTAACCTGCAGAAAAGACAGAAAGAAACATGGACCATGAACATGTGTACCCAAAAAAAATTTTAAATTCTACTCTGAGGAGAATTCTAGAAGTCAAAATGACTGTTTTTGTTTTCCGTAGACCAGTTTTGTTTTTGACAGTCTCACTATGTATCCCTGGCTGGCCAAGAACTCTGTGTAGACAGGTTGGCTGTGAACACATAGTGATCCACCTGCTGCTGATTCCAAGTGTTGGGATTAAAGGCATGCACCACCATGTTGGGCCACTAGACACGTTTAAAGGAAAAGAAAAGGAAGGGCCTATGAGACAGATCTTTGGGTAAACGCATCTGCCATCAAGCATGAAAACCTGAATTTAGTTTCTGGGACCCACACAGAAGAACCTCCTGTAAGTTGTCCTATGACCACCACACGTATACTATGGCACATATACATAAATGTAATCATTTTTTAATTTAAAAAAGGAAAAAAGGAGAGGGCTGCTGGGTGTGGTACACGCCTTTAATCCCATTCATTAGGAGGCAGAGGCAGGAGGATCTCTGAGTTCAAGGTCAACCTGGTCTATATAGTGAGTTCCAGGTGAATCAGGAGTCATAGTGATAACTTGTCTCAAAAACAATAAAAGGGGTGCAGGAAAATGGGCATAAGATTACATGCCTTTAAGTCCAGAATGTGGGAGGTAAGTGGATCTCTGTAAGTCTGAGACCAGCCATGTACACAGTGAGATCCTGTCTCAAAAGAACCAAAGGGGAGACAGCTGGAGAGATGGTTTAGTGGTTATGAGTACTTATTTTTGTAGAGTACCTGGGTTTGATTCCCAGAACCACATAAAATTTAAAAATCTAAAAAATAAAAATGAAAAGGAAGAGGAGGAGGAGGAACCTACAAACTACAGGACGTGGCAAAGACACTCCAGGGATGGAGTGCAGCCTCAGTGGTTAAAACAGCATTTTGTGCTGTGCACGGTAGCACACACCTTTGATTCCAGAACTCCGGAGGCAGAAGCAGACAGATCTCTGAGTTCAAGGCCAGTCTGGTCTACAGAGCAAGTTCCAGAACAGCCAGGGCAGTTACTCGGAAAAACCCTGCCCCAAAAAAACCAAAAGGGGGGTGGAGAGAATATTGTTCTTGTAGAGGACTGGAGTTTGATTTCCATCACCCACACCTATATCTCCAGTTCTATGGGGAAATCCAGCTCTTTCAGCGCTCTCTCTCTCTCTCTCTCTCTCTCTCTCTCTCTCTCTCTCTCTCTCTCTCTCTCGTGCACGCGCGCGCGCACACACACACACACACACACCAACAATAATTTTTGTTTGTTTATTTTTCAAGACAGGGTTTCTCGATGTAACAGCCCTGGGTGTCCTGGAACTCACTCTATAGACCAGGCTGGTTTCAAAATGAGAAATCTACCTGCCTCTGCCTCCCAATTGTTTGAATTAAAGGTATCTGTCATAGCTATGCCCTGCCTAAAATAAATCTTAAAAAAGACTTCCAAAAAAACCCTTTTCACCTATGTTTATTTTCTGAGGGTATGTGTGCCATGGCACATGTGTAGAGGCTAGAGGGCAATTGGAAGGAGTCAGCCTGATGATCTGAGATCAATTCTGAGCACACATGTAATGTAGAAGATAAATGACACCTGATGACTTCCACACACTTGCAGCAAGCATGCACACCTCTCCCCAATAAATATATAAAAGTGGTTTAAAAAATTAAACCTAAAAAAAAAAACACACACACACAAAATAAGTCGGCTGGTGGCGGTCCACACCGGGAGGCAGAGGCAGGAGTATCTCTGTGAGTTCAAGGTCAGCCTGATCTATAAGAGCTAGTTCCAGGACTTGCCTCAAAAAAAAAAAAAATAACTGCAGGGCTCGAGAGATGGCTCAGTGGTTAAGAGCACTGGTTGCTCTTTCAGAGACCTGGGTTCAACTCCCAGCACCCACAAGGCAGCACAAACTGTAACTCCTGTCGCAGGAGATCTGATGCCTTCATATAGACATACATGCAGGCAAAACATCAATGCATATAAAATAAAAATAAATAATAAAAAAGTTAGAAAAAGAATAATTGCTTCTCAGACTTTTGGGTAAGATTAACTACAGAAACAAAATAAAACACAAATTTGCAGGGCTATGGCATGGAACATTTTAACAGCAGAAGCCTGAAAATTTGAAGAAAAATACAGTAAAAGAAAACAAGCAACAAACACAGTAAAAGAAAACAATCAACCAAACAAGGAAGAAAAAATAAACAAGGTAAGTGTGATATCCTAGAAGCTAAATTTAAAAAAGCAAAAGTATTACAAGAAGGTAGCATAACTGTGTCAAATACAACTTTGAGTCAAATAGGATGAAGTATGAAAATTAACATTGGATTTAGTACAGGTCAAGGAATTCTTAAGAGTTCAGAGCTTGGTTGATAAAGTACGCCTGGGGAGTGAGATGGCCAAAAAATTTAAGAACTCTACTTGTGAAGTGCTAGACTGAGGAAACTAATGGTGGCAAAAATGGAATTTGGTGGTCAGAAAACCAGCCATGGTGGAACTGAAAACTGAGGAAAAGCCAAACCAAGACCTACTTCAGAAGAGGTAGTAGGAGTAGTGAGAAGCACACAAACTTTAGATTCAAACTATCCAAGGCACAGAATGGGTTCTAAGATCAGCTGGCTGTTGCCCCTAGGAAAATCATTTCTGGGGCTGGAGAGATGACTTTGCAATTAAGAGCACTGGCACTGCTCTTCCAGAGGACTTGAGTTCAATTGCCAATACCCCTATGGCAGCTCACAACGGTATGGGATTCCAGTCCCAAGAGATCTGATGCCTCTTCAGGCACCAGGCACACAAATAGTCTACATACATCTAGGTAAAGCATTTGTACATACAAAATAAACTAAAATAAAAAGAACGACTTTGGGCACAGAGTAAGGTAGCATACAGTTTTAATCCTAGCCCTCTAGAGGTAAATGCAAAAAGAAGGATCACTGTAAATTTGAGGTCAATCCCTTCTACATTATGAATTCCAGGCCAGGCAGGGCTAAACAGTGATGAGACCCTATCTAAAAACAAAAGTAAAAAACAAGAAAATGAAAACCATCCATTTTCTTAAATTACGAAATTAGGTGTGGTGGCTCACATCTGTAATCCCAGCAGCTAGGAATCTGAGGCAGGAAGACTATGGAGACACCCAAATAAGTAATGCTAATGAAAGTGCAATAAACACATCACATGTTCTTAGAAACACCTGCCCTACCGGGCAGTAATAACACACACCTTTAATCCTGGCACTTGGGAGGCAGAGGCAGATCTCTGTGAGTTCTAGGCCAGCCTGGTCTACAAAATGAGTTCCAGGACAGCTAGGACTGTTACACAGAGAAATCCTGTGTTGGGAAAAAAAGTTCTAATGACCCTTTGTTTTGAGTTAGGTCCTTGCTATGTAGCCTAGCCTGGCCTCAAACCCTCCTGTTTCACTGTTCTATGCTATATTACTACATGTGTACCGAATGCCTGTGAATGCTAAATGACATCAGATCCTCTGGGACTAGTTACAGATGATTGTGAGCTGCCATGTGGGTGTGCTGGGTGGGGGTTGAACCTAGGCCAGGTCCTCTGGAAGTACAACCAGTGCTTTTAAATGCTGAGCCATCTATCTCTCCAGCCCAAATATTTTAAAACATTATTGTTATTGTTGTTGTTATCATTACTATTAATATTATTTGAGACAGGGTCTCACTAAGTAGTCCCTGTTGGCCTGGAATTCCGTATGTATACCAGTCTGGTCTCAAATTCAGAAATCTACCTGCCTCTGCCTCCATAGTACTGGGATTAGAAGTAGGCACTCTACCAAATCAACTCCATCCCCAAGCCCCATTGAACTTTTTGAGACAAGGTCTTACTTCGCAACCCTTGCTGCCTGGAACACACAGAAATTCACCTTCCTCTGCCTCCATGAGTGCTTGGATTAAAAGCGTTCACTATGCTTGGCCCCACTGGACTTTTATTTGGGACTATTACCTCAATGCAAACCTTTTCACTATACAATCATTTTCCATGCCTTGTTTCATATATTAGACATTTATCCTAATGAAGTTTTATGGAACTAAAAAGTTGACCAGTCAGATAAAATACATTTTTAATATCTAACCTTCAAGTGTCCTTTGCCCGTGAGGAATTCAGAATAACCAGCATCTGTGGCCAGCAAACCCACGAACTGCATGCTGGGCCGCTGCTGTATGAAGGCTTCAACAGCTTTGTCTGTCACATGCTTTCTCCCTGAAACATCCAGGGAGACAAGACTGGGCAAGATGTCCTTTTGCTCTAGTAATCGAAGGGCTATGTCTGATGTAAACTGTTTATCATCTGAGATGTCAAGATGATTCAGATGTTTCAGTTCCCGAACAACATCCAGGATCTGGGTAGTCGTCATTTTTAAACATTTCAAATGGTGCATGGTGAGAGACTTGAGCCGGTCTTTGCAGGCCAGCAGGGCAGTGATATCTGTGATTGAGGTGTTAGAAATATCCAGGCTCTCCAGTCTAGGCAACGAAGCAACTTCAGCCAGATCTTCATTGTAAAAGAGCACATTAGTGATGCTCAGAGCTCGAAGACCAGAAAGCCGGCTGAAACACCGCTCATAAGGATCCTCGAGGGACAGAGTTAATGAGTTTAGTACCAAGCACTGAAGATTTTGCTGGATCCACTTATTACTGCCAAGGCCACTTATGATGTCTGTGATAGTGATGTCGGCATTCACACCTGTGGCATCAAGTTCTACTAACTTATGGTGGCAGAAGGCTTTCCGGAAAGCAACAGCAGAAATCTTTGCTTTGCGAATGCAAGCTCGCTTTAGGCGCATCTGGTTACCCCTGAATATTCCCACAGTTCCATCATTCAGCAAACCTAGAGGAAAATAAACAGTATTTTAACTTAAAAAAAAAAAACAGAACCACAGATTAACTTCAAAAAACAAAACCACAACAAACAAAAAACAAGTCAAATAGCAAATACTTGCATCACATTTTAAATTTCTCACACTTCCATGCAGCTGTATTTCACTTGATACAATTCGGTGAGATGAAGATACTATTACTTAGACTGAGACTCAAAAGGAGACTTTGCAAGATTAGGAAGCTGGTAACAGTAGACAGACATTCACCAATCCCTGCTTCTCTTCATTCTGTGAGGCACACAGGCAGCTAGCTGTACCTCCCAGCACCTCTTTAAATTAGACAGGACCACATGCAGTCAAGGGGCTGCAGACTTAAGCACCTGAGACTCAACTGTGAGTCCCCATATTCTCTTCTCCTTCTGTGACAAAGGAGAAGGCTTCAAGTTCTAGAGACATAGTTTTATGAAGACTGAGTCTCTTCAATCTGGATACTAAAGTGACCAAGGAAGAGAATCTTCAATAGACTTGTAGAGTTTATGTATGAGTGAGGTTTAAATTTTACACTAATATATTGATACCAATATATTCTTAGAATATCTTTTAAGTTCACAGTACATTATTACATATATAAAAATACATACAATATATTTAGTAGATAGAATGACTAGAATTCATTATTAAACCATTAGCCAGAGCTGGGTATGATGGCACACACCTTTAATCCCAGCACTCAGGAGGCAGGGGCAGGCAGATCTCTGTGAGTTCGAGGCTAGCATGATCTACATAGTCAGCACTACACAGAGAGACCCTGTCTCAAAACAAACAAACAAACAAACAAACAAACAAAAAACCCACTAGCCAGATTTGAAATATTTTTATTTTGGGTTAGTCTTTTTGTAGACAGGTTTCTCTGTTTAACAGCCCTGGCTATCCTACAACTTGCTTTGTAGACCAGGGTGGCCTCAAACTCAGAGATCTGCCTGCCTCTGCCTCCTGAGTGCTGGGATTAATGGTGTGTTTCACCACCGCCTGGATCTACATTTATTTATTTACTTATCTATTATTTATTTACTTATCTATTGTGTGTATGCACCACCACACCCTGCTTGCTCAGTTTTTAGATTTTTAAAAATTGTATTTATTGATTCATGTGTACACATGTCTGCTCATGGCATGGCATGAGTGTGGAGGTCAGAGGACAACTTTGTGGAGTTAGTTCTTTCCTTTCACATGAATCCCTAGACTAGAACTCAGGTCTTAGGTTTTGGTGGTAATGCTATTTATCCAGTGAGCCACTATTTGTGGTAAAATATTATTTTTAAGTGTGTGACCTTTTTTATGCTGCATTTGTTTAACTCTGTGAAGCTGTGTTGCTGTGCCTGTGTGAAGCACCTGATGGTCTAATAAAGAGCTGAATGGTCAATAACGAGGCAGGAACAAGGATAGGCGGGGATGGTAGGCAGAGTATAGAGGAACAACAAGGAAAAGGAGGAGCAACAGGAGAAAAAGGAAAGGAGGACATCAGGGGCCAGCCACCCATGGAATAAGAAGGAAAGAAAAGATTTACAGGAATAAAGAAAGATAGAGTCCAGAGGGAAAAGGTAGATGGGTTAATTATAGTTAAGAAAAGTTGGCTAGAAACAAGCCAAGCTAAAACTGGGCATTCATAAGCCTCTGTGTGTGATTTTTTTGGAAGCTGGGTGTAGCACCCCCCAAAAAGTACAAGAGTAAAACATAGCACAATATTTTGTTGTTGTTGTTTGGGTTTTTTTTGTTTTTTTTTTTTTTTTTTTTTTTTTTTTGGTTTTTCGAGACAGGGTTTCTCTGTGTCTTTGGATGCTGTCCTGGAACTCGCTCTGTAGACCAGGCTGGCCTCGAACTCACAGCGATCCGCCTGCCTCTGCCTCCCGAGTGCTGGGATTAAAGGCGTGCGCCACCAACGCCCGGCTTTTGTTGTTTTTGAGGCACTGTTCTCTGAGACATCTTTTTTGTTGTTGTTATTGTTTCTGTTTATTTTTCCAAGACAGGGTTTCTCTCTGTAACCACTCCAGCTGTCCAGGAACTCTCTCTCTGCAGACCAAGCTAGCCTCAAACTCAGAGATCCCCCTGCCTCTGCCTCCTGAACGTCGGGATCAAAGATGTGTGCCACCACTGCCAGGCACTCAGAGGGTTCTGTTAGGGAGACTCCTCCACTTACTATCTCATGCTCAGGCATAATCCGGCATACATAGGATTAAAATCATTTGCATCATGGCAGAGGACATATAGAGAAAAGGCAGTACAACCCAAACCTGTCTGTCAATCAAAACAGAGAACCACCCTCACTACTAACCACCTTCCACCAAACTCCATAAAGTAACCAAGGCCCTTCAGTGCTCTCCCAATCAGGGTGGGCCCGTCTCTCTTGGTAGTGATTTTTGTTTTACTATAATGAATCTTTCTTTTTGTGTGTACATCTTCTCCAAGTTATGTGGACAAGCTACCACAAACTGAAAAAAAATATGCTAGAACCAGAGAGATATTTCAGTAGATTAAGAGCACTTGCTCTTGCAGAGGACCTGGGTTCAATACCGAAGACCCACATGGTGGTTCACAACTATCTCTAAGTCCAGTTTCAGGGAGCCAGCATCCTCCTCTGGCCTTTGCAGGCAACAGGCACACAAGTTATGTACAGTAACAGCAGAGCTGGGGGCAAGGTGTGCGGTGGCAGTACATGCCTTTAATCCCAGCACTTGGGAGACAAAGGCAGGCAGATCTCTAAATTCAAGGTCAGCCTGGTCTACAGAGTAAGTTACAGGACAGCCAGGCCTACATAGAGAAACCCTGTCTCCAAAACCATACAAATTTAAAAATTTCCAGCAACAGAAAAGAAACTAATATAACACAAAACTGAAACTTTTTTTTGAGATAGGTTTTCATGTAGTGCAGACTGAACTCAAACTCACTTTGTAACTAAGGATGACCTTTAAATCCTGATTCTCTTGCCCCAGTCTCCCAAGTGTTGGTATAACAGGCACGTGCCAATACACCTAGCTTTTATTTGTTTATTTATTCATATATTCAGCAGGGTGGGAAGTTCAAAGGCAAACCTTCACAGCTATGGTCTCGTGGTTTTTGACAAAGTCCAAACAGTTGTGAGGGAAGAATTTTCTGTGTGTACAGGGACAACTGAATACCCATGAGCAAAAGAATGAAGTTGGACCTAGATCTAAACTGTATACAAGCTGATCAGTGGCTTTCTAAAACAATTTTTAGACTGAACATGCTGAGCATGATCACTGAGAAATGTTGGTATTGCATAATCTCTTGAATTGTTGTATAGCATTGTGAATGACTTACTTTTAATATATATACTACTTATTGATAGTTATTCCAGTTCCTGTGTCAGGATGCGACTTAGGCAATTCAGTAAAAACAAATATAAACATTTCCTTTTCTAAAGTATACCAAATAACTCAATTATAGCTCCATTTTCCTTGTTCCTCTTTGGAACACATCATCTGCATTCACACCTAACAATATTTTTCTCTTTTTTCACATTTAGTTTGGGTGGAGATGGGAAAGTATGGGCAGAGGCCAGAGGAGTGTTTCAAGTATCCTCCTCTATTGTTCTTAAGTTTTCTTCCTTTGAGACAGGATCTCTTACTGAACCTGGAGCTAATGGTTCCTTCCTTTCTTTTGATTCCTCCCTCCCTCCCTCCCTCCCTCCCTCCCTCCCTCCCTCCCTCCCTTCCTTCCTTCCTTCCGAGTCAGGCAACGATGTTCCTCTTGTCTTCATACCTTACCAAGTACTGGGTGTAACCACACCTAGCTTCTCACATGACACTGGGGATCCTAAATAAATCCTTATGTTGAAGTGCTTTACCCACTGAGTCGCCTCCAATACCCCAACAATATTTTTCATACATACGTACATACGTACATGGGGGAGGGAGGCAAAAATAGGCAGATCTCTTGAATTCGAGGCCAGTCTGGTTTACGGAGTAAGTTCCAGAATGGCCAAGACTATACAGAGAAACCCTGTCTTAAAAAACAAACAAACAACAACAACAAAAAAAAAAAATCAAGAGCAGAAACCAGTTTTTTCCATAATAGTTTGATTCTCCCACAGTCAAGAGAAGATGTAAGGTATTTCTATACCTGCTAACTTCCGTGTAGAAATACTGTAGTTGGAGAAGTTCCTTGTGACATAAGAATCACTTTTTAGGTCTTGGAGAGATGGCTTGGTGATTAAGAGCATCTGCTATTCCTATAGAGGGCCAGTGTTCAGATTCCAGCATCCACATAATAGCTCACAACCATCCCTAACTTCCAAGGGACCTGATACTCTCTTCTGATCTCCATGGGCACTGGGAATGAACACACATGGTACATATACATACATGCAGGCAAAACACTCATCTACATAAAATATGTAAATCTAAAAGTGTGTGTTGTGTGTGTTTTAAATTGCTTCTTAAATCAAAAAAGAAAAATAATGGTTTGCCTAGATTGGGAAGGGGAAAAAAAATCATTAAATCTGAGGCAAAAATAACTGAGTTCCTTTTCCTAGAATCAGGTTCATCTGACTTTTTCTACTATTTCTAAGAAAATAATTAAATGAGCCATAGTAATACTTTAAAATTCAATGCCAATTAACAGCACACAATGTGTCTCTCCCATCTTCCATCATTTACCATGAAATGCCATGGTCTGAAGCAGTCGATCAGCCACCTCCTGTGGAAATACTCCAGGTTCCTGCAGACACAGTGTTCCATCTTGTCTTGCTGAACAGAACTTCTCAAGGTTAGTGGTCAGGAAACTCAAGCAGATGTCAAGTAAGGAATAGGGAGATGCTTCCTCCTTGGAACACAGGAAAGAACATAAAGGGAACACACACAAAAATGAACAATTGGTTTCTAGAAAAGTGGAGAATAAAACTTATTTACTCATTCAATAAGTATTTATTACCTATGAGACAGACAATGAATACTGTGACAGCAACAATCTCTAATGTGCATTTCAGAAGCAAGAGAACACAAGTCCTGAAAACAATCTCTACACAGTCCCTTAGGTACTACAAGGGAGGATATACTGGGTATGTGCAAACACACAGCAGGTTCTAACCAGTCAGGGGCAGATAGGGAAAACCTCAGAGGAAGAGCAGATCAGTCTTCCTAAGTCATCACTGTGATACCCTAATCAGGTCTTTATGGGCTCTTACCACACTAAAGACAGCATTCTTTTTTCTTTTCAGACAGTCACCCTGTGTACCCACCTCTGGCTGGACTGAAACTCAATATGTAGACCAGGCTGGCCTGGAAATCACAGAGGTCCACCTCCTTCTACCTCTGTAGTACTAAGACAAAAGATGAGCACCACTGCACTCAAAATTCTTAAACTGTTGACTTTCATATCTAAATACTTCTGTGTTGGCAAGTCTTATGTCCACTTGACACATAAACCAGAGTTATTTGAATGGACAGAACCTCAATAGAAGTGGGAAAGGTTTACTTTAGCTCACAGTTCCAGATTTCAGTACATCACAGGAGGTCAATCAAAGTGTCAGACACTTAAAACAACTGCTCACATCACAACTACAATCAAGAGCAGAGAGATGAGTTACACACATTTGGTGCTCAATTACCCTTCTTTACTCTTACACAGCCCAGGACCCAAAGTCAGACAACTGTGCCACCCACTTTCAGGCTGAGTCTTTCCACATCTATTAAGGCAACCAAGACAGTCCCCCCAAAGACAAGCCCGCAGGCCAACCTGATGTGACAATCTGTCACTAACATTCTTCCCAGTGATTTTAGATTGTGTCAAATTGACAACTGAATTAAACATCACATCTCCCCATTCCATCAAATAATGTTTTGTTTGTTTGTTTTTGTTTTTGAGACAGGGTTTCCCTGTGTAGCTTTGGAGACTGTCCTGGAACTAGCTCTTGTAGGCCAGGCTGGTCTCGAATTCAGAGATCCACCTACCTCTATCTCCCAAATGTTGGGATTAAAGGCATGCACGGCTACCACTGCCTGGCGATTGTGGGTCTTTAGTTTCTGGTTTTATGTAGTGGTCTCAATTCTAATTCTCATGAATTAAGTTAAAGATGTCATCTACTACTTGAAATATTCCTAAGGTTGACAACAATAGTTTCCTTTTTCTGCACACCTGAAAGGTTTGTTTTTGTTTGTAAGAAATACTTTTATAGGCTGGGCAGTGGTGCCACGTTGCTCTGTGACCTCTACAATATCACTATGGCACTCTTTATTCCTTCCAACTAAATAAATAAATGTAAAAAAATCATCTTAAAATTATTTATTATTATAATTTGGGTTTTTTCCTTTCCTTTTCTTTTCTTTTCTTTTTTTTTTTTTTTTTTTTTTTTTTTGAGACAGGGTTTCTCTGCATAACAGCCCTGGCTATTCTATAACTAGTTCTGTAGACCAGGCTGGCCTCTAACTCACAGAGATTCGCCTACCTCTACCTCCCAAGAGCTGGGATTAAAGGTGTGTGCCACCATACCTAGTTTATTTACTTTCTTGACAATTTCGGTTTTTTTAATTTTGTTTTTAATTTGTGTTTTGTCTACATGTATGTATAGGCATGACATGTATGCCTCGTCCACAGAGGTCAGAAGAGGGCACTGGATCCCCTAGAAGTTGTGGACCATCTTGTGTACTAGGAACTGATTGATCCTTGGTCCTATCCAGCAGCAGCCAGTGCTTAACTGCTGAGCCATCTCTCTAGCCCAAGATTTCATCTTTCAAGTTTTATCTTTTTATTTGTCCATTTATTTGGAGTGTGTGTCCCAGAGAGACCAGAAAGGGAATCAGATTCCCTGGAGCTGGCATTATAGGGGATTGTGACCTGTCTGACATGGGTGCTAGAAACCAAACTACTGATCTGAAACTGGAGTTACAGACAGATGTGAGCTGCCTGCCATGTGGGTGCTGAGAATTAAACCCAGACCTCTGGAAGAGCAGCCAGTGCTCTTAACCACTGATCCATCTCTCAACCCCATCTTTTATTTTAAGGAATTGTTTTATTTTTATTGACATGTATGTATCTATGTGAACATGTCACATGTTTGTGAATGCCTGAGGAAGCCAGAAGGTATTGGAGCTGAAATTATAGGTGATTGTCAGCTGTCTGATGTGAGTACTGGGGATGGAACGTAGGTCCTCTAGAAGAGCAGCAATCACTCTTATCCCTCTGAATCATCTCTCCAGCCAACATTTAACTTAAAAAAATAATAAAATAAAAGACTAGCCTGGAACTTTATGCAACTCAAGTTGATGTCAAACTTTCAGTCTTCCTACTTTAGTTTCCCAAACCCTGGGATTATAGGTAGTATTACACTTGGCTGTGAAGCCTTTTTTAGGACTGAGTAATATCTTGGACTTGGGACTCTAGTTGTCTGGACTAAAATGCCATTTACAAATCTATGTAAACTTATTAGGTAAAGGACTTAGTCTTCCTGTACTTCAGTCCATGATCTAAAAAAATGCAGATAACAGTACCTACCTCATATGACTGTTGTCAGAAATAACTACACTCTAAATGCAGAACTCTTGAAATAGTGCCCAGCATGTACTAACTGCTGAGTCAGTGCTTATTTTAGAATGCAAGTTCCACCAGGAAAAAAAATGTTTTGTTCACTGATAGTCATAAGCCTAAAATAACATCAACTACATCATAGCAACAAACGTGTATTAAACAGTGAATTCTCAAGCACAAATTTACTGTTAGGTGTACTTTACTCCTAGAGAAAGAGAGGACACACCCAGAATTATTAAATCACAAGGTTAGAACTTAAAGAATGGACAAGCATCACTGAAGCACTCACATACCCATGTTGGCTTCCTACTACCATACTTCATGAGAAAGCACCTCTTGGTTTGTGGATTTTTGTTTCTTTTGCAGTGCCAGGATTGAACAAGTACAGTGTCACTGAGCTACAGCCCCCCACTATTTTCTACCAATAATTCCACTGGGTCAGACTTCTAGAAATAGGGCATCTGAGACCAGATTTAATCAAATCCTCCACTCTTCCCTTTCTGACATCTTACAAATGAGGGAGTCAATAAAGTAGCCTCAAGGACACAGGTGATATCATTGTCAAGAACAGATATTAGGGCCTGGAGAGATGGCTCTGTTATTAACAGCACTGGCTGCTCTTCCAAGGGATCTGGGTTTGATTCCCAGCATCCACATGGCAGCTCACATGTTTGTAACTCCTGTTCTGGGAAGCTGGTACCCTCACACAAACATGCATGCAGGCAAAACACCAAGCCACATTTTTAAAAAAGCACGCAAATATTATGAACTACTGAACATAAAGGTTTGTGTTTTTGTGCTGGGGCTCAAACCCAAGATCTTTTGCTCATTTGTTCATTTTTGAGATAGAGTCTCATACTGCAGTCTGGAGTTGAATTCAAAGAGGCCCCCTGCCTCTGCCTCTCTGAGTGGTAGGATTAAAGGCATGTGACACCTTAACTGGCTCAAACCCAGGGTCTTGTCTCCTCCATGCTACTCAAATGCTCTACTGCTAAGCTATATCCTCAGCAGTTTTACTAAAAGAATCACTAATTACTCTTCTGAAACTGCTAGATTAAAACTTAAAAGCAGATAAAGCAAGTTTTCTGCATGCATCACTTCAAAACCTAGCCAATATGGCTAGTAGCGGAGTGCTAAAGGGCAAGGAGGTAGAGTTCTAGCTGAAAAGATCAAGGTTTCCAACGGTAATCAATCCCTCCCCGCTTCCTTCTTAGGTCATGGAATAAAGCTATTCTGAGAAACAAAAAATTTAGGTCAGTAATCACTGAGCATTTATGGATCATACTGAGTGATGCCTCAGGATTATGTCCCTCTTAGCCACAAGCTTGCATTCTGAAGTACAATATAGTTCACAGACACAGGTTTAATAATGTAAAGAGCAGTTATGGGCTTAGTTTCCTGGCTTTGCTACTTACTAGCTATATGGTCTAAGGAAAAGCAATTAGAGTCAGTTTCCTTATCTGAAAACGTGAAGCTAGAGCTCTATCTTAGAAGCTAGTGGTATGGAATAGAAGCAATGTATGTGAAAGCCAGCTCTAAAATACTAAAGTAAGCTATGCATGATGGCACACACCTATAAAGTAATCCTAGCAATGGCAAGGCCAGACAGAAGTATTGAAAATTCAAGGCTACCCTGGGCAACACAGCAGGTTCAAAGCCATTTAAAGCTACATAGTGAATGTAAGCCTCAAAAAAATCCAAAGGCTGTCTATGTACCCCCATGGTATGGCATATCCCAGAATACAGAAGGCCCTGGATTCAATTCCAAGCACTGAAAATAACACACAACTAAATAATATAATAATGATTTTAAAATAAATAATTTCAAGGAAATTGCTACTATTACAACATGATGAGAGTGGGAGTTTATATACCTACTAACTGTACTAACCAAAAGCTGTCCCCATTCCAGAACATGTTTCACAATTCATTTAATAAAGGGCCATCCTTCATCTCAAATATGACACTACTTCACATAAAGCCTTTCCACCTGGTTACCGTGGCCTGTACCTCTAATCCTAGCATGTGGGAGGGTGAAACAGATGATCACCGGAATCTACCAGTTCAAGTCCAACCTGGACAATATAGCAAGAGCCCATATCAAAAAAGTAGCGAACCACAAGCTTTTCAAGATCCTAATGGTTTTTAATATGACTCAGAGTCTCTCAGTCTGACCACAGGTTTGCTTTGTCTAATCTACCACACCTTCAATGCTAAAGTCACAGGTTCTAGAACACACCCTGCCTAGCCTTCATGCTACCCTTAGTGACTTTATTTTGTTCTGCTTTTTGAGAGAGGGT